CAGTGGGTGGTTACTGGTGGGATTGGTGTGAATTGGGTGACACAGAGGGTGACACCAATGACCATGGGGTGTCCCCGGTGTCCCCAGGACGTCCCCGAGGCTGAGCACCACCAGCAATGGGGACAGTGGGTGGTTACTGGTGGGATTGGGGTGAATTGGGTGACACAGAGGGTGACAGCAATGACCATGGGGTGTCCCCGGTGTCCCCAGGACGTCCCCGAGGCCGTCCCCGAGGCCGAGCGCCGCCGGCAGTCGCTGCAGGACGGCCGCCGGGCCCTGCCCATCTTCCCGTTCCGTGACGAGCTGGTGGCGGCCGTGGCCCAGCACCAGGTGCTGGTGATCGAGGGCGAGACGGGCTCGGGGAAAACCACCCAGATCCCCCAGTACCTGCACGAGGAGGTGAGCTGGGGGGCACTGGGGGGGGCTGGGAGGGGATTGGGAGGGACTGGGATGAACTGGGAGGGGGTTGGGGACACTGGGATTGAACTGGGAGGGACTGGGATGAACTGGGTGGGGGTTGGGAGGGACTGGGAGGGGATTGTGGGGCACTGGGAGGGACTGGGATGAACTGGGAGGGGGTTTGGGTCACTGGGATGGGGACACTGGGGACACGGGGGACTCGGGGGACACTGCCCTGCCACAAGGTGAGGGACACCGGGGACACTGGGGACACTGGGGACACTGGGGACAGAGCTGGGCAACGAGGTGACACTGGGGACACTGGGGACATGGGGGGGACACTGGGGACACTGGGGACTCTGGGGACAAAGCTGGGCACTGAGGTGACACTGGGGACACTGGGGACAAAGCTGGGCAACGAGGTGACACTGGGGACACTGGGGACATGGGGGGGACACTGGGGACACTGGGGACAAAGCTGGGCAACGAGGTGACACTGGGGACACCAGGGGGACATTAGGGACACTTGGGACACTGGGGATGGGGGGGGACAGAACATTGGGGACACCCCGGTGACACAACTGGGGGGGCGGTGTGAGTGACCACAGCGGGGTTGGAGTGACCACAGGGGTGGCCTGAGTGGCCCTGGGGAGGTGACAGTGGTCCTGGGGAGGTGACAGCAGCCCCGGGGAGGTGACAGGGAGCCCGAGGAGGTAACAGGGAGCCCGAGGAGGTGACAGCATCCCAGGGAAGGTGACAGCAGCCCAGAGAAGGTGACAGCAGCCCAGAGAGGTGACAGCAATCCCCGGGGAGGTGGCAGCAGCCCAGGGGGGTGACAGCAGCCCAGGGGGGTGACAGCAGGGAGGTGACAGCATCCCAGGGAAGGTGCCAGCAGCCCCAGGAGGGTGACAGGGCCGTGTCCTTGTCCCCAAGGTGGGGTACAGCATCCGCTTCGAGGACTGCACGTCGGAGCGCACGGTGCTCAAGTACATGACGTCCCCATCCCTGTGTCCCCATGTCCTCATGTCCCTGTCCCTATCCCCACGTCAATGTCCCCATGTCCCCGTGTCCCTGTCCCCATCCCCGTGTCCCCATCCCCATGTCCCCATCCCTGTGTCCCCCTGTCCTCATGTCCCTGTCCCTATCCCCACGTCAATGTCCCCATGTCCCCGTGTCCCTGTCCCCATCCCCGTGTCCCTGTCCCCGTGCCCACGTCCCCGTGTCCCCGGCAGCGTGATCATGGTGGACGAGGCTCACGAGCGCACGCTGCACACGGACGTGCTCTTCGGCCTCATCAAGGACATCGCGCGCTTCCGGCCGCAGCTCAAGGTGCTGGTGGCCTCGGCCACGCTGGACACCGAGCGCTTCTCGGCCTTCTTCGACCACGCGCCCGTCTTCCGCATCCCGGGGTGCCACTTCCCGATGGACATCTACTACACCAAGGTGGCACGGGGACATGGGGACATCGGGGACGTGGGGGACACTGGGGACGTGGGGACGCTGGGGATACTGGGGACATTGGGGACACTGGGGACACTAGGGACATGGGGACATCAGGGACACTGGGGACATTGGGGACATCGGGGACTCTGGGGACGTGGGGACACTGGGGACATCGGGGACACTGGGGACATCGGGGAAACTGGGGACATCGGGGACATTGGGGGTGTTCAGGGTGTTCAGGGCATTGGGGACATGGGGACAGCTGGTCATCCCGGGGTGCCACTTCCCGATGGACATCTACTACACCAAGGTGGCACGGGGACGCTGGGGACGTGGGGACATTCAGGGCATTAAGGACACGCAGGGAATTGGCTGGGGACGCTGGGGACATGGGGACGCTGGGGACATGGGGACAGCTGGTCATCCCGGGGTGCCACTTCCCAGTGGACATCTACTACACCAAGGTGGCACGGGGACACGGGGACACTGGGGACATTCAGGGCATTAAGGACACGCAGGGAATTGGGGACATGGGGACACTAGTGGGGACATCGGGGGTGTTCAGGACATTGGGGACGTGGGGACATTAATGGGGACATTAATGGGGACATTGATGGGGACACTGGGGGTGTTCAGGGGCACGGACAGCTGGTCATCCCGGGGTGCCACTTCCCGGTGGACATCTACTACACCAAGGTGGCACTGGGGACATGGGGGACGTTGGGGACATTCAGGGCATTAAGGACATGCAGGGAATTGGGGACATGGGGACACTGGGGACATTGTGGGTGTTCAGGGCATTGAGGACTTGGGGACATTAATGGGGACACTAGTGGGGACACTGGGGGTGTTCAGGGGCAGCTGGGGCTGTGGGCTGTTGGGAGCGTTTGGGGACACGAGGGGACACAGGAGAAGGGGGATGGCTGGGGACCTTGGGGACAGCAGGTGCTGCTGGCCCTGTGTCCCCCGCTGTCCCCTGATGTCCCCGTGTCCCCTCCTGTCCCCTCCTGTCCCCCGCTGTCCCCTGATGTCCCCGTGTCCCCCGCTGTCCCCGCAGGCGCCCGAGGCCGATTACCTGGAGGCCTGCGTGGTGTCGGTGCTGCAGATCCACGTCACCCAACCCCCCGGGGACATCCTGGTCTTCCTCACCGGCCAGGTCAGTGTCACCTGGGTGTCACCTCGGTGTCCCTGAGTGTCACTGTGTCCCCCTGCTGTCCCCATCCCTGCAGGTGTCCCCGTTCCCCTGAGAGCTCCCCTGTCCCCAACCCAAATTTCCTGCTACCAGTCTTTGTCCCTCTGTGTCCCCTGATGTCCCCAACATCCACAATGTCCCCAATCCCCTGGGTGTCCCCAATCCCCCGGGTGTCCCCGATATCGCTGATGTCCCCGATGTCCTCAGTGATGTCCCCAACGTCCCCAATGTCCCCGGGTGGCAGGAGGAGATCGAGGCCTGCGTGGAGCTGCTGCAGGAGCGCTGTGTCCCTGTCCCCAGTGTCCCCAATCCCCTGGGTGTCCCCAATCCCCCGGGTGTCCCCAATCCCCTGGGTGTCCCCAATGTCCCCAGTGATGTCCCCAACGTCCCCAATGTCCCCGGTGGCAGGAGGAGATCGAGGCCTGCGTGGAGCTGCTGCAGGAGCGCTGCTGGTGCTGCCCCTGTCCCCAATCCCCTGGGTGTCCCCAGTCCCCCGGGTGTCCCCGATATCCCCGATTTCCCCAGTGATGTCCCCAATGTCCCCGGTGGCAGGAGGAGATCGAGGCCTGCGTGGAGCTGCTGCAGGAGCGCTGCTGGTGCTGCCCCTGTCCCCAATCCCCTGGGTGTCCCCAGTCCCCCGGGTGTCCCCAATGTCCCCAGTGATGTCCCCAATGTCCCCGGTGGCAGGAGGAGATCGAGGCCTGCGTGGAGCTGCTGCAGGAGCGCTGTCGCCGCCTGGGCTCGCGCCTGCCCGAGCTGCTGGTGCTGCCCATCTACGCCAACCTGCCCTCGGAGCTGCAGGCCCGCATCTTCCAGCCCACGCCCCCCGGCGCCAGGAAGGTGCGCTGGCCCTTTAAGAGGAGGGCGGGGCCTCGGGAGGGGGCGTGGCAAAGTGGAAAAGGGGTGTCATTTAAGGGGAAGGGGGTGGGGTTTAAGGGAAATGGGGTGGGGATAATTTATAGAGCCAGGAAGGTGCGCTGGCCCTTTAAGAGAAGGGTGGGGCCTCAGGAGGGGGTGGGGCATCATGGAAAAGGGGTGTGGTTTAAGGGGAAGGGGGTGGGGTTTCATTTGTGGAGCCAGGAAGGTGCGCTGGCCCTTTAAGAGGAGGGCGGGGCCTCAGGAGGGGGCGTGGCACAGTGGAAAAGGGGTGTGGTTTAAGAGGAAGGGGTGGGGTTTCATTTAGGGAGCCAGGAAGGTGCGCTGGCCCTTTAAGAGGAGGGCAGGGCCTCAGAAGGGGTGTGGCTTCATGAAAGTGGGTGGGGTTTAATTGTGTGTGGTCAGAATAGGTGTGGCCAAAAGGGGTGTGGTTTTATTGGGTGTGGTCAGAGTGGGTGGGGCTTGATTGGGTGTGGTTATAATTGGTGTGGTCTAAATGGGGTGTGGCTTAATTAGGTGTGGTCAGAATGGGTGTGGCTTTGTTGGGTGTGTTCAGAATGGGTGGAGCCTAAAGGGGCATGGGCTTATTGGGTGTGGTCAAAATGGGTGTGGCTCACTTGGGTGTGTTCAGAATGGGCGGAGCCTAAAGGGGTGTGGCTTTATTGGGTGTGGTCCACAGTGTAGACCATGATTGGCTGGAGCTCCAAGTGGGCAGGGCTTAACAGCACGAGCTTTAAATAAGGCGTGGCTTATCTGGGTGTGGCCGGGAGGGGCGGGGCCTGCGAGGGCGTGTCCCAGCGTGTCCCCGCCCCCGGCACAGGTGGTGGTGGCCACCAACATCGCCGAGACGTCGGTGACGATCGACGGCATCGTGTACGTGCTGGACCCGGGCTTCTGCAAGCAGAAGAGCTACAGCGCCCGCACGGGCATGGAGTCCCTGGTGGTGACCCCCTGCTCCAAGGTGAGCCCACCTGTGTCACCTTACTGTCACCTGTGTCACCTTACTGTCACCTGTGTCACCT